TTGGAGTGATGGGAGTGATGGCAGCTGAAGGAGCGCTGTCAGCAGTATCTGAGATGCTGTGACAGTGGAAGTGCCTCCACAGTTTCCCTGTGTACGGAGCCATGGGATGAGGCTTCTCTGGGAGCGCAGGCACAGAGCTGTGACTGTGCTGGTCTGACGGGCCGTGGTGGGAGGATGAGAGCTGAAGGTGTGTGTTGTGTCAGAACCAGCGTGTGAATGTCACCACACCAGTGTGCACGAGGGCAGCCGCAGTGCCGGCTCTGTTCCCTGCCTCCTGCTTAGTCATCCACTCCCAGGATTTCCCAATGTGTCTGTAGGAATATTAGTTACATAAGTGCAACGTTTAATCTCAGTTTATAAATGAATTCGTGCAGCTACAGTCACTGAGTAGTACAATTCACCTTGGACTTCCCACCACGCTGTATGTTCCTGTGAAAATCATTTCCGTTTTAGTTAGGCCTGAATGATTTTAATTATTGGAATACAGAGTTAATGAATATCTTCCCATTGCTGGATTGGAAATTCGGTGCTCCCTGTGACTCTTGCAGGCACATTGGCAATTGAACAGTACCTGCTTCTCCAATTCATCTGACACCCAAACCAGTTTCTGACTGTGTCCGTGTTTTTGAGTGATTTTACCTCTGCTGTTCCATGACCACCTTTAGGAGCTGGAAGGAGATGTTCTAGTCAGTCGGGAAAAGGGGCCATGTCACCATTCCGCACGAGTGCCAAACAGTGCCAAGTGTGGAGGTACCAGGTGTGTGCTTGGTGGCAGAGCCTCTGCTCTGCTGCGTTCCCAGAATACGTGAGCGTTGCCTCAGAGGCCTGGAGCTGCAGGTTGCAGGAGGATGACCTCTTGCAGTGAGGAGGAGTAGGGTGAAATGTGCTCCTCATGGACCCTCCTCTGTGCAGGTTGTTTCTCTTGCTTGGTTCTCTCTCGCTGCGTTGTGCTGATGCTTTCCTGGGAATGTGCACGAGATCCAGGGCAGCTCTCCTGTGTCAGTGGTGCTGTTAAAGGAGGAAAGGAGTTTGTTGGAGAGTAAAACAGGGCCATGTGACGCTTTTTGTAGCTGGAAGCTGTGATCAGAAGAGTTGTAGTGTCATGTGCATGGGAAGTCACCCCTTTGGAAGTCTGTTCTCAAATCCAGGGCTTTTCCACGGAGAGTGGTGTCATGTTCACGTCCTTCTCCAGGACAGAGAAATGGAGCCGTGTGTGGAGTACCCGTGTTGGACACTCACACTTGTGGAGAGCAACCTCGGTGCTCTGCTCCCTGATATATTTTTCCATGTTTTCTGTGTGAAGTGGCTGCACATTGTGGGAGGCTTTTTTTACCCGAGTTTCATCTTTGTTCATGCCACTGTAAAATCATGTGTTTGGTGCCTTCTGTGATGTGTGGTCACAGAGATGTGTATGTGTTGTGGTGCATTTGTTTCCATAACAGTATTTAACTTAGTCATTAGTAGTTTATTTTCCTTTCACTTCACTGCACACAGGTATTTTCTGGAATTGTCTGCAGGGTTAGTTAGGCCTTAAGTCACAGTCCAGTAAATTTCTTGTTAGTAATCAACAAAATGCTTATTTGTAGCAGTGGAAATTTCATTGTTCTGTAGAAGAATAGGATTTGGGTTCTGAGCTAGAGCTGCTTCCCTGGTTTGGTGTCCTGTGTGCAGGGCTGGAGTGAGTGTGAGTGAAAAAAAAACATCTGGAACTCTGTGCTGGCAGCTCAAGTGGGATAGAGTGCTGGGATCAGCTCTGTTGGGAAGCAGAGCAGTGCTCAGTCTTGTGTTTTGGTTGCCTAAATAGTTACAACAGAGCCACAACTTCAGTTAGTGCCCTTCCAAGGTTCCTTTTCTTGTCTCTTCTCCCAGTGACGGGGGTTCACTCCCAGTTTTTAAGGTTACTGGACACTGGATGCGTTTTGGTGCTGTCACTGAGATCTGCACATGTTTGCTGACCCAGAGACTGCCGAGTGTGAAGGCTGTTTGGGAAGGAGCAGCAGGATGGTGACAATACCTGGGAATGGAAGCTCCTGCTCCATGAGACATGATGTGAGCAGGGGGCAGCAGTATTGGCTCTGAGGGAGGCCTGTGGTTTGTCTGCAGTGGCTGATCTGAGCAGCACATGCTCAAAGGAGCTTATCAAGTGCTTCAGTACCTGGTGTGTCCCGTGGATGCTTTTGTCCTCCTGCAGCTGGAGCTCTTGTGGCCTGCTGTCCATCACTGCTGGTGACACTCCAGTGGAATAACAGGATGTTGGCCTATAATCCGTTTTCCGTGCACCTTCTGGGAAGGCAGGAACCTGCCAGAGGGATTGCAGCTAGTCAGCTCGTGGTGTTGATGAGTTCATACAGTTTAAAATGCAGAATTGACTACAGCCTTTCTAATGGACAGTTTTTCCTGCTCCAGTCTCAAGCACCTTTTTCTGTTGGAGCAGCAGGGCCTGACTCTCTGTAATAGCAATGTTTATTTCCTCTCTCTTGTGTCTCCTGTTCCTTTGTGCCATTGGCCAAATCCTGCTAACAGGAGCGTGGCTTCCTGCGTGAAGGGGAGAGGGATAATGCTGTGTTCATCCACAGGGCCTGGGTTTAACCAGGCACAGTGTGGTACCCAAGGGAGAGATTGGCATCTCCTAACTCCTTCTGCTGGTGATGCAGAGACAAGGACTACTCTGTTCCAAACCTAAATGCAGCTGTGAGTCCTACTGCTTCCTGCCCAGCATGGGAAGTTTGAGGAGGAATCCTCAAACACCATGAAAATTGCAGCCCTTCCAGTGCCAGGTCAGGTGTGTGGGATGTGGCAGGAGGAGCAGATGCTGCTCTGCTCTCTACACCAGTTGTTGCCTGTGTGTTTAGTGGTTGTTTTTTTCATTTCGGTTTTCCTTTGCTTGTTGGCTTATGTTGTTGTTTCTTGGGAGGCAGGCTGGGTTCCTCAGGAAGCTGTTTTTGTGAAGGAAATTTAGGTGTGGGAAAGAGACAAAAATTTATTACAAATCGAGGACTTTCCTTCTGCAATTTCAGATTTTGGGCAAAGCCTTGGTGAGTGCTGATTCCAGCTGCTCCTGCAGCTCAGCACTTCACAGGCACAAGTTTCCTGGTGCAGTTTTGACTCTTGGATCGGGACCAGTGACCATGCTGGGAGGGTCTGGAATTACAAGGATTTTCAGCTCATAGCTCTGTGTTGCTGTATGAGTTCTGTTGCAAAGTAAATGTGCGATATATCTGTGAGTTTTGGGGGTACTTGGGTATTGTCAGCATGTAAAAATGCCCTGAATCTGTTAGACATGCTGAAGCAGAGGAAGAGAAATCCTGGGAAAAGGCTTATCAAACCCCTTCACTTGAGAGAAGCACAGCAGAGCTGCTGGGTGAGTGCTGTGCTCTGTGGAAGTGTGTTCTGGGGCAGGGTCTGCTCCAGCTCTGTAAGTCTCATCTGTAAAATGTTAGCTTTTGCTAAGGAATCTGCTCAGTGCCTGATTTTCTAAGGGAATAAAACTCTTTGAGAGCAGTAGTGTGTGCTGTCCCTGCAGCAAGGTGGTTCTCTGAGGGGGAGAATTTCCAGAGTATGGCTTGATTTGGGTTGATTTAGCATTCAAAAACCTGAGCTGTTGGCCATTAGAACTGAAAACAGTTGTAGTTCACCTTGAGATGTGCTGAAGAAAGCCAAGAAGGTAAAGTTCATGCTCTGATGATAAGGTTTATGCAGGCAATGCATCAGCTCAGTTGCTGGTTTCCAACACAATGTGATGCCTCGTATCCAGGATTCCAGGCAGATTTTTTCAGGCAAATGTTGGTTATTCCCACCCTGTTAATCAAGGATCAGGCAATGAGTAATGCAAAGCAAACTACATGCTGGAAGAAAAAGGATAATTTGGTTCAAAAGGCTTTATGCAAAACTGGAGATTCCATGTTGGGAGGGACCTTGGTGTGTCTCTGGTCCCACTGGCTGCCCAACACGGTTGACACAGAGTTCGCATGTTGATCAGCGCTCTCCAGTCAGCTCTGAGAAGCTTGAGGAGTGGCCCATGGGAACCTTCGGGGGTTCAACAAGGCCAAGTGCCAGGTGCAGCACCTGGGATGGGGCAATCCCCTGTATGAATCCAGGCTGGGAATGAAGGGATGCAGAACAGGTTTACTGGTGAGGCACTGGCACATGCTGCCCAGAGCTGCTGTGGCTGCCCCATTCCTGGAAGTGTTCCAGGCCAGGTTGGGTGTGGCTTGGAGCAAACTGGGCTAGTGGAAGGTGTCCCTGCCCATGGCAGGGAGTGGAACTGGATGGGCTTTAAGGTCCCTCCCAACCCAAACCATTCTGGGATCATGTGTGACATTTCCAAAGGCCTTTTAGTTCATTAAGGCCCAATGTTACAGCGAGCACCAAGAAGTGAGATCAGGTGAACTGCGTTTGGGAATTTTAGTTTTTAAGGGATTGACTTGCTCACACAGACATTTCTGTGATCTTGCCAAAACATATCTGGAAAGCAGCCATCAGCCCAAAAGAAAACACCTGTACAAGCTATAAATGAGTGTGAACACCCCGGGCTAACAGCATTTGTGATGCTCTTTGCTCTAACACAGGACCAGGAACATCCAGCTTGGTTTCCTCAGGGTTATGACCGGGTGTACAATTCTGATTGAGTACATGTTCAGGGGATTCTCTAAACATGGCCCAGCTTTGAAGCTGCCCTTTCATGAAGCTCATGCTGAGGTTTTTGAGTGTCTCCCTTGTAGTGCTTAGCGCCAACAAATCATCACCTTACCAGCCTTTATCAGAGGGAAGTATAAGCTGCTTTTAAATATTAGTGTCTTCACTTAGAGGCAGCAGATGTGGGGAGAGTTTGAAGTGAGTGCTTGCTAGGATGAGGGCCTAGGGAGTGTCCCAGGTCTGTGAGGTGTGAGCAGGTTCCCAATGCAGTAGGCAGGGGCAGATATGCTGTCCAACACTGCACCAGAGAGGAGTGTGCTTTCCTGATGGGATTTGGGCTTTTTAGTGTTGTGAAAGAAACTGCCATGTCTGTTTCAGATCCCAAAGAAGAGAAGGAGGAGGAGGAGGAGGAATCTCCAGGCGTGCTGAGCCATGGCTCCCCGGTGGGCCCAGCGCGGCCCAGCCGGGGCTGGCGCAGCAGCAGAACATCCGCTCGCCAGCGCGACGCCGAGAACTCGCGCGCGTCCCGGTCCAAGACTGGCTCCCTGCAGCTCGTCTGCAAGTCAGAGCCGAACACAGACCAGCTGGAGTATGGTACGTGGCATGGAATGCTTGGACAGAGTCAGGGAAAGCTCTGGGGGGACTTGGTGTGTGCGAGCTGCTGAGTGTGCCTGGTGCTGCATGGCCACAGGTACCACTGCCACCAGCACTCCTGGCTCTGAGTGTCCACAGAGGTATCGTCAGAGCTCACTGCAGCCAGCACACTTTGAAACCTAACGGCGACTTTTCCTTTCAGAGGTCACGGAAGAGCATCGGTCTCCAGCTGGAGTCAGGTGGGACACTCATTATTTTCTGGTATTTCTTCCTATGTGGTGTCTGAGGGTGGGAAAACAAGGGCCTGAGTTGTCTGAAAATAAATGCCTGTGTGAAATGATCTGTAGGACAGAGAGCAGTTCTGTTTCATTCGTTCCTGGGCCTTTGCATTTTCAGTGTGGACTGCAGGTGTTGGGAGATACTGATCTGGGCATTGCACCTGGTAGCTTTGTTCCTCTGGGGG